AGTTCGTCTTCTGCATATGACTGAAGTTATTGGAACCCATGTTCACAAACCTTGGCCATCGGTACATAATTGAGTTTTCAGCCGAACTTCGAATAAATCCTTCACATCAAAATATTCAAACATTTTTCCAATTTTTATTGTTCTATTTTACATATTCTCAACATTCATCTCTCAATTCTAACATAACTATTATAATACTGACCTTTGATCAAAATATTTCGTTAGTTCTTTTTATTTATAATGGACATATTTAGAATCAGTCTTCTTTCTATGTCCTGTTTCCCAGTCTGTACGACATTGAATGATGTAACAGTGTTGACTTTTGCGAGAATGAAATTCCGAATATGAATGATAGGCTGAATCGTTTCCTGATTTTCGGAGATGGTTTGGAGGTTGTATACCGATTTACTAAACACCTTTCATAAGGTACCAGAGTGGCCACTTTTGTGAACGAAACAAATGATTAACGATCATACAGTCTGTCCATTAAACCGATCATTGCCCAGGACAAAACAACATTATAGAAAATGGTATAAGACTATAACACCAGAGTGGCTTCAAAACAAGATTTACTATAGGGTTGTAGAGATGGTGGAGTTTTCATTGAGATAATGATCCGATCTATATTAGACCACCGCTGAAGACATGGAAGCACTGGACGGCCATTTCGTCCTAGTACGGTACTTTTCAGAAGTGAAAATCCACGATCCCATCATTTAGGACCAAACGTAGAAACCCTGGTCTCGTTAGAACGTTTAAACTCTAGACCACTGAGTCAGGATCTAGCGGTGTTAATGTCTAACTTCAACCAATCCACAATATTGCGCGACCATCATAGATTGTTTTCGGTGGGTAACCGCCTCACATTTGACACAGTTGAAAACTACTAGTCACGGCTTCTCCTTGGAATTCCGAGAATCACCTCTCAAAGCCAGTCACTAGTGAACACATCCTAATTATTCTAGGGTTGTAGAGCTTGTTTAGTTTCTATTGAGACCATGAACCATTTTATACAAAGAAATCAAACAAGAAGTTGATCATTCTCAAAATAATGGTTTTTTTACCTGCAGTTTCAGAAATGAATCATCAGCAAGTGAAGGTGAAGTTGGTGTTTATTTCAGTGGTTTTTAATTAGCTTTATTCAACACCATGTTATCAATTCACTCAACTGATATCAATAAAACTTCTCATACTGAAATTCACGGGAAGCAATGAATCAGAGCCAATAAAATGACTTTTCATCATTACTGTATTCATATATTACTGAAGTAAACATGTTCAAAAGCAACCGGATGATACAATTATCAATAAGATGTTTGATAATTTTATAATTTATCAGGAGCGGTCTGTAATGAGGGTCTAAGATCAGTTCATAGTTTTGTCTATGAAATGTTTACAAACCCCAAAAATCACTCTATATTAATAATGATTATATGCTCATTGCTGACTAGCTTCAAGGTATATTCCATGGAGTCCTTATGAGAAGCAATGATCAGTTATGTCTGCCAGTGGCGGGTGTCAGGCAGATATCTATAGAAAAAAGTTGATGGGAATAGCTCAGTATCGTGAATTGGTTGGATTCAAACATCAACACCACTGGTTGGCAGCTCAGTGGTTTAAAGGTTAAGCGTCACTCGCGAGATCAAAAGTCCTGGATTCGATTCCTTGATGCAAGTTCATGGATCAGCACTGTTGAGAAGTCCCATACTATGACGAAACGGCCGTCCAGTGCTTCTAGATTTCCAGTGATGGTTTAATTAACATCAGTTTATGATTTAATCTATGAAAGCTTATCAGATGTATCTTTGATTAAAAAGATTTTAATTATCCAGATGTCATCAATTTTTTAGTGACATGCATCCCCAACAAAATTTTGTATATTTTAGTTAAACTATGTTAGTTTATTGTATAATATATCGTTCAAAGCATGTCGATTAAACCACATATTAGCAAGCAAACAACTATCACTCGTAAGCAGTTGTGTAGTAGAATCATTTCACAAATTTCATTTATTTATAAACTACGGGTTTTACAGATTATTTAAATTATTTTATTTTATTTGTAATTACTTATTTCGTTCACATGTTTGTGATTTGATCGGACACGAACGAACATGATTTATTTTCTTGTTTATTAATTTAACTAATTGTGTGCTAGTTTAATCAACTCAACTTGATTTAAAATGGATGAGGAGTGTACTATTCAACTATACTTACTTTTGACAGAACATGATGAATGTGTAATATAAATTGTGCATTCAATGTATATGTACTTCATGATGAATCACATATTTATCCTTCATTCTGTTTAGCAAAGATACTTGAATAATATGAAAATACTAGCAATCATCAAGGTGTATGACTTATTTCAAACTTTATTCGATTATTTGGCACTTCATTAATTAGTCAATTAATTGTAAAACGTTTCTATGTGTACGTAGTAAAACTTGACTTGATTTCTGGTACTTTAATTGTTATGAGTAATGGAAGTGACTGTATAGAGTACTTGTAATATTCTATGCCGATAAGTTGTCAGTGAGAACAAAGTGAAACACAGGTACTATATGGCTTTTAAAGTTCAAACTTCTTTCGTTAAGGAAATTAACTTAATGTTCATCGAAGAAAATACAATGTAAATGATGTTAATATTTATATAATGTCTGTAGTATATGAAACAGACAATATTCATATTTGTGCTTTACAAATTGAATTGAATATTTTTTTAGTCGAAGTCTCTATATTAATTTGTAAATTTACATTTGGTTTCATCTAAACTCAATGGTTTTTGTTTTTTAATATCTCAGGCACCTATCTCAGTAAATGTTTCTCAATAAAATGAGAATAATCTCTATTGAAACATGATCTCTCTGTCTCACAGATATTGAAAATTATTTCCTTCCTGTTGTGTTGATTATCAAATATCGGTTGAAAGCAACGCAATTTAGGTAAAATAATTCAAGTGGAAGAGTGCATTGATAGATTGTGTGCAAATCAGGTATAAAATTATTCAGTAAAATAGTAAAGTACATTTTGTGCAACAACGAAAAGATATTCAAGACAAATAGTGTCGGGAAACGGAGCTTCATGGAGTGATAAATTTATAAGCTTCATTTTCTCTAGGTACAAGTGTTTTTTTAAGCTTGTCATTACATTTACATCAAATTTAATTATACTTTGGTCAACTGAAATAAACGATATACAAATTCGACAAGTTTTGAAACTGGTGAGCGTTTTTCTTAGCGAGTTAGTTTTCTACGGGATGGGGTCGCTAATCCCATGCCCGACCCTCCCCATTTCTCCGGGCTTGGACCCAGAGGGGCTCCAGGCGGAGCTAAGTGATGAAACTAAACTTAAATAAAGACATTGTTATTTTCTGTTGTGAATGAGAACAGGGATGGTGACAACCGATTTGTTTTATTATAAAATTACGGTATCTTGGTAAAATATAAGGACCATACATTAAATACTTATTTGCAAATTTCCACAGTTTGTTCTTAACATTCTGTATGACTCTTCAAGTTTACAATTCTTTTGTATTTTCCCTTCTACTCTCTTCAACTCGATCTTCTTAACCTTCTGCTGCCAGATTTTCCACTGCCAAATGATGTTACATACTACTTATATCTGCCTACGTAAATGGCATTCATCACACTCGTGCCCCCTTAAAAGGGCCTCTCTTGCGGTTTTTCTGCTCGGCGTGCCATTTTATTCTTTTCTGAAGTCTGCGCCACGCTCTCTGTCAAAATGTTGAGTTTGTGGCGCGCTGACCTTCGTAGCTCCATCGACGTGTCGAACCAACAAAATCCAATTTCTACCCAGCCCCTGGGACACTTGGGACCTGCGCTCCAGAGGCCTTCCGAGCCATCTACATTCGATGTCCCCCAAGCAGTCGCATATCCTGCTGCTGCTATCCGTCGACAGCAACTGGTACAGCCAAGGCCGCCCTGTTAGAGCACTCCACTCAATTTACCATTCCCACACTAGAGCGCTCTAACAAGTGCCTTCTCTCTCGGCGCAGCAACAATGTCCGAAGAACTTCACCTTCCCCGGCTCCCTTTTGGCAGCGACACCAAATGTCGTGAAAGAAAATGCAGGTGTGAACAGACAATGTAATTTATGACAAAATTATAGAGTATCTTGGTAAAACATAAGAACCATACACTGAACTTTCTACATTATTCACTTTCTATTGTTCATAAGCACTATTTTCAGACTGAATGAATTTGCCATAGAACATCATGTTAGAAATTAAATAAATAAATGATTTGAACAATATACCTTTACACATTAATTTGTTAGCTGTCGAAATTACTGAATATCTTCAAATCTGACTACCAACGTTACAGTATATTATTAAGTACTTACAGGTTTGTTACATTAAAATTATGGGCAGATTAAACAGCGAGAGCTTTTAAGCAAATCTAATTTTCCGCATGACTTCTGACCTTTGCTGATCAGTAAATTTTTGTATGCTTGAAGGTTCTGCTTTTGTTTCCATATATACAGAGATGTACCATGTCACGTCATTCTGCTTTAAATCTTAGTTATTCATAAATTGCGTACTCTTCATGTGTTAACTGTTAAAGTATAGGATCGCAGCTATTGTTATCGTGACTGCTATAGAACTGTTTGTATTAGAATGGCCTGATCATTCTTGAACTCGGAAAAGTTGTGGACCAACTGTAAACCACTACACCGTGGAAGCTTTTTAGAAAGATTTAGCATATATATTCGTATATGAATTAACATTCCTGTGGTTTATGATTATGTTTTAGGAAAAAACGTTTATATTTAAACTAGAAATTTATTGTTAAAAAACATAAATACACCAAAATGATGCAATACATAGTGAACTATTTCAAAAAGCAATGAATTAGTGGTGTAGATGTATATGCAAGAAGTTAAGGTGTTTAATAATGAATACATTTCAATTAAAATGACCAAAATATATATAAATTTGAAGCAATTACATAAATCAGTGAAGATTATGGACTTAGTCATTCAGAGAATGTATTTACTGATTCCCATGCAAACAAACAGAACAACAATAACATGACGATGAATAGATAATTTTGTCATTCCATTGCATTTATCTGTTGAGCAACAACCGACCGTATACTCATGATCCAATTGATCACATGTAGGTCCACAAAGTTTACTAGTAACCCCAGAACCATGAGTTGTCTGAAGATGTAAATCAAAATTAAATATTCAATCGAAATAAATGATTAAATTAAAACTTGACATAGGTATATGAAACGTTGTACACAGTTATCAACAATAAATGATTGTGTAATTAATTTATTCGATGAGAATAATTTAGTGAAAAATAGAATTTAATTCATTCAATTTACATGACAGAAAAGACAATGAATTATATGTTATTTGTTTTTTTCTTTATAATCATTATTTTTAAAATAACTGCTGATTTCTGGTTAGCGTTTCTTTAGCGAATTAATTTTCTACGGGATGGGATCACTAACTTCATGCCCAACCCTCCTCTTTTATCCGGGCTTGAGATCAGCAGTAACCTCAGAGAGGTTCCAGGCGGGTTTTACTATAAATAAATTACTTTGTCAAAAAAATTACTAATCATTCGTGCAATATCTAAAATGTACATTTTTTTGTATGAAGTCCCATACTAGGACGAACAGTCCGTCTAGTGCTTCCAGGTTTACCATGGTGGTCTAACTTCAATTGACTCATGAATTCAACTATTAAATTACTAGAATATCCATGAAACTGTTCTCTGAAAATAAGTAAATATTTGTACATTTTTGAAAACATTTACAGAAAGAAAAAAGATCAGTATTTTATTGGCATTGCTCTAACAATTCACTCCAGTTAGAAATATATTCATTTGCACGTTTATAATTTCTACTTATTTAGTTGGAACATTTTACATTTATAACCTATAAATATACCATAAATAAACATGATCAGATTTATTAGCAGAAATGGATCACGACTAGTTTATAATGCTTATAATGTTTGCAACTTTAACCAATATCGAGGCGATCCGCATAGGATGCAAATATGTCAATATGAGACTAATCAATTTCAGTTCTAAACATCAATAAGAAGACTCAACCAATATAAAAATGAAATGATCAGATTTAGTTTTCTTTATTAAACAACAAATATACTACTGATGTTCATTAATAATGTGACAGCAGATAAATTTTGATAAATTTGATTTTAAATTAACATAACTCAAAATGAATTGAGTTGTAAATCATTACTTGAACTTACAACACACCCTCCATAACCCTCTATAATCATGTAGATAGTAATATTATCACATTCAAGACAAGTATGACAACTTACTGAATTATCTGTAAAATCAAATTAAGGAAATGTCATCATTTTAGAATCTTTACAATAGATATAATGCAATAAGCATCCGAAAAAACCCTGAGAATATAAAAACATAATTTTGACGGAATTTTGTTCTCTGAACTGTATGGTTTGGTCGTGGAGCTCTCGTCGTCATTCTGAACGACAACATCAACACAAACTTCAGGTAGAAAATACTACCCAGAAATAGTCAATGTTATTGTTTCAAAGTAAGCCTACAAAAAAAATATTTCGAACGATGCAAATTTAAAATAAGAAACAAATCGCTACTTATTACCCGCCAATATTTTAGTTTAAACGTTGAATTTCAGGTACATGTTTTGAAAGTATAAATTACTGTTAGAAATGATAAATATCAAATCTTTTTATGTGTACATTTGAATTGTCACCACTTGTTTTCCGTTTTTTTTCTTAAAAATGTGCTAATTTTGCCATGATTTCGGTATTAGTAGTCTGTGGTGGTTTTTTCTGTGGTTTATTATACCTTTTTCACTTCAGTATAAACTATCGACATCAACTATTATTTGTTTTCTAAATACAAGAATACATATAATGCAAACATTTGTGAATGGGAAATAATTGGGATCACTTACTTAGAGGATTTGTTTGATTTTCTAAATTAAGTAAAAATGGAAAAGAAAGAAAATTCTTATTACACTCACGGTGTACTAGTCAAACGAATAACAAGACATATATAAATGTTCTTTGAAATAAACTAAACCATATTAAAACAATTAATCCCTTTTATAGAATTTCGATAGAACAATGAGAAGACGGAGTTGATCTGAAAGAATGTGATATATTTGCTCCATACATTTCGAACAATCTGGTCACACATATACTTGTCAGGGCAATTTAAATGAAAATTAATAAAGGTCAATTAAATGAAAGTTCAAGTAAAAAGTAACAAAGGGGAGAGAGACAATTTTACATCATATAAAAAGAATAAGAAATTGTCGCGTTATCCTAGGCCACAGAATAACTTAAGGATTACCACGGTAAATTTAAGGTTACAACAAATTGTTTTTGTACACATAAGGAGGGTTTAAATTTACGAATAGCCAAGGCTTCAATAAACTTGAGAGTTCGTCCTTGACAATTTCTGTAAAACTTTCTAAAAGCTGTATTAATGTCAATTTTGTGCCCCGTTTCAATTATATGCTTCGCTATCGATGAACATGGTTTTCTACCTCCCACGTTGATCGAATCATTTGACACTAATTGGTTTTGATGCCGTATTATCCGGCATTTAATTTTATCAGAATATTTGAGGTACTTTGCCAAATATTGAATTACTTTATGTTTGTAAATTTCTAAACTATAAACGTTATGATTCCGTTTCAGAGGTTAAATGATGAGTTTTTCTTTAGAATCAAGAAAACTGTCTCACATCAAACACTCGAAAAGTGTTTTTAACGAAAAAAATTATTTGATCCTGTCACTGAAGGTAGAAATGTATGGAAACACTTATTTTTAAACTGATTGGGAATTGCTGGTTATCATAGTCAGTCATTAAGGTGTATTATCCATATCTTTAAGTTTAATCAGTATTTAGCATAGCATAAGATCATAAGTGGATATTATGTTTGACTTTTCTGTTTAAAACTATAGGCAATTGAATAACTTCATTCGTACAGATTTTTAAAACTTAAATGCAAATCTATACATTTTAACAGTTGATCTGTTCAATAATCAATCATTTAAACAAATAATGAACAGAATAAAATCGTCATTTAGTGGATACTTACATGCAGTAATTTGCTAGGTATAATAAATACGGGATCAATAGAAACGAATCATTTCACGAAGATGAAATTCATGTTGACAATGTTTATTATTTTCTACTTACTTAGATGATCGCCAATTATTCGATTATTACACAGATCCGACTTGCACACATTCAGATTCTCTTTTGGAAAGTTTGTGGGAATCGTACTATTACGTAAACATATTCTGTGTACTGAATAATTTTCACCGGCAACCTATGATTCAATTACAAATATATACTTATTAAAGTGATGTAAACTATCCTACAGGTAATTTAATAGGGCTAATGCAACTAAAATAAATACGTTAGTCTTTACACATTTTTTACTCACAGAACCGTATAGTATTTCAATTTGATCATTTAATAAGCGAGTTGATAAGCAATGACAATGTATTCAAAATATAATCATAGAAATGAAAGTAGCTTTGACCGTACGATATTCCTAACAAGTAAGCAAAGGTCGTAGATCGTTATTCCATTCAATTCAACTATAATCTGAATGCAAATACAATTAATACGTATTTGATGAGTAGGTATGGTATTCTAACGCTTTCAAACGTTTGAGCACGATTCATATGCAAATCCAGATTTCAATGACACTATTCCTACAATAAGGAATGAGAAGAAATACCGAATATGAATAATAACATGTAGCCGACATAGAATTCGAGTTTTTCGTAAACTATGAATTTTAAAGAACATCTGAAAAGCGTAATTTTTTAGTTTTGATGACATACTGATTCCTTCTGAAATTCTTAAAAGAACTTGTCAATCTCATACTTGAGAGGATTATCGCTAACATATTATTACTACAACCTTGTCACTAATTTGTATAACCTAAGATTGAGTATATTGCGTAGACGTGTAGGAGACTTTAGAGATATGGTTATTGAAAATGTTTTAGACACTTTATAATCCTGTTCAACATAAAGAAAAAACTGCTTTAAATATCAAACTGAATGTCGAGTCCAACTTGCTTATTGTGTGTATTAAATTAGTAATCTAAATGGTAAATCATGAAAATGAATATGCAAATATAGTTATTCAGATATATTTATTTCGAAATTTAACTCACTGCACATGAAGTACAATTTTCATTTGATATTGACTTATTCGTTACTATTGGGCAGTAATCACACACATGACATTTAATTGACTGAATTTGATCTGTACAAAACAAAGTAAGTAGAGCTATGTAGTATGTAGAATAATTTCATTTTAAAATCAGTAAAATACTCATCAATTCAATAGGTAATATGATTGTCTTAAACATCACTGGAATCAGACAAGATAAAAACCACCACGACATTTTCAGAAAATATTCATCCTCAACTCAACACAATCAATTAATCAATTCACATTTCATCTATTCGAAAATGTATTGAATGCTGGTTCACAAATTTCGTAAGAGGAAAATAATGTATTTTGTTGTTAAAGAATAGAACTAAATAAGCTAACGGATGGGTGATGAAGGAGTTCATTCATTCATTTGAAATAATACAGTCTAGGCAAACTATTCAAAGTTGATTAGTATGCAAGTGGATTGAATGAGATCTATGATTATTGTTTATTCATGTGATCATGTCCGAGGAGAATCTTATGATTATATAAATATCTGATGTGTTGTTGTTTGATGAGAATCAAACAATTGTGACGAAGTACTTCAATGAATAAGTGGGAAGTGTAAGTATTTTTCTATATACTATCACAATTGATCATTCAGAATCCCTGTGAATTTTAGATAGATGTTGATAGATTTTTAAGCATCAATAACTTTCTATCTGTATTGGGAAATTGCTACTCGTTTTAACTTGACTTTGAATGTTTTATGCTTATTTTCATAGTAAACAAATACTGTTCTTAATTATTCATAATAAACAAATTAGCATTTATATTCAAATAGATATTTTACAGACGATAGAGTCTTTAATTAAAGAAATCTTTCATAAAACAGAGAAATTATTTAAGTTTCACTGGATTGTCATAAGAAATTTGAGCCATTAGTGAAAACAGCTCAACTATGAGGATGAGTTGGTTCATTACTATGTACATCATTAATTATAAACAATAAATCCAAATGCTTCTGAAAAAAAGTGTAACATTCTAGTTAAAGTTTTAGAATATTTGACACTGCTACATGCAAAACAAGAACTATACACATTTATTCAACTGATGACAGTAAACTGCTTTTCATTTAAAATATGGATTTACTGAAACCATTTAAGTAGAGATAATCTACCGAAATTAATTCGTAACAAATTAAGATGAAATGCCCTATGTGATCACATTTTTATACGCTGTGTTTCTTAAAAGTGAATGAATTTTATTGTACACGAGTCAATGTATATTTCGTTGCCAACAGGGTCTTATAAATATGCAAGATTACAACGAAATTTTATGATCCTAATTTTCTCAGATACATGCATTTAGGCTGTAAATCATAATTTCATCTGAAGGAAATTGATTATTAGCAGAAAATATTTAAGAGTTGTAAGTGCTCAAAGTAATACTCCAGGATCATGATATAACATCATTTCCTCTTCAAATCATACAAATTTTAAGTTTAAATATTATTCACTTACAGGCAACTCAAATGTATGCTACAAAATGTGAATCGAATTACTTACGTCTATCGAGTATATTGAATAAGAAATATATCGAGATTCCAATATACTTTAAACCTCCACTCATCATTCAGGAAACTTGAGATGCACAAATATTCGGAATTAGCGTATATATATATAAATGCATTTGAAACCTTGCTACAATCCATCAATAAATATGCACCTTCATAATCTACGCACATGAATTACCCAATTAATAACTAGAATATCAGAAGTCAGGTATTAAAATCTGTCTATCAATCACACTTCGGTGGGACTTAACTGAAACTATAGAAGCACTGTTAAATGAATCAAGTATTAGACAATATTGTTATAGTATGTCTCACTCGACTAGATGTAAAGGAAAATTTAAAAAATGTTTTGAGCTGTGATAAATTTACCGAATTTTTTTATCAAAAAAAGTAATTAAAATTTGTCACCTTGCAATATTTAGTAGCTTGAATTAAAACAGTGTTCACAAGTTTAAAAAGTATCAAGGAACAGTGATGTATACGAATGATTGTTTTATGGATTAATAATTGGTTTATTGTATATAACTGAAGACAAGAAATATAATGTTTTAAACGAATTTGAATTATCGTATGAACTAGGAATCACAGAATTAACGCAACTGAATAAGAAATTACGACACAAGCACGAACGAGTGTATTGTATTTAAAATTCGAAATCGAGCATTTAACAAGTACAAAGAAATCATCAGTTAATTCAAACACCACATCCGCCACATCTTAAATTGGAATATAAATGTCTGTAATAGGTTGTACTTCTCCTTCTTAAGTTCATCCTGAGTCTGTCCGACATTGTATTGGATAAAAACTCTGTATTATCCAGAATACACTCATTAGTATTAGAATGAACATCTGAAATCGGAACAGACTTACCTGGAATTGTTTACAACCAGCATGTTGCTTTTGTACTGAAATCATTAATATCTACAATTCGAACCATAGATTTTTCAACACTATCCTCCACCACGAAATAATGTTGGATCTTTATATCCCCAAGTTATGAATAATGTGGCTTCATTTAAAACATATTTCTCACATTGATTAGAGTATACATTGGAAGTGAATTTGTGATAAGGATGAACAGCAGTTGATATGAAATCATCTGAATTGTAATAAAAATCGAGGTCATTTAGTACTTGTGCTTCGCATTGAACAAGTTTCCCACAAGAAACAAATGCATTATGAGGACAAATAATATTTCGTATGACATCAAGCTTTGACTCTTCTGAAACAGTTTCCTCGAATTTATTAGGAATGTCATTGCAGAACAAAGGATCATTAGAAAAATCAGCATCCATCAAAGTTGCATCAGGTTTTTGATCATCATTATGTTCACTCAACATATTTTCTTCAGATTTGCAAGGAATTTCATCAGAAATATGTGAATCATTAGGAAAAGTCATACCTGGTACAATAACATCAGAATTCTGACAAATTGATTGATTAGAAACCATTGTCTCACAAGGATTCTGAGTTTCATTTAACTCCGAGCTGCTATATGACTCTACACTGTCTTTTAAAATCGTTGATAAAGATAAATGATCATTATAAATACTCGACTCAGTAGAATCAGAATTACAAAACTTAAAATTAGTTGCAGTAAGATGAACATTAGTATTACAGACTGACTGAATATGTCCAATTTCACCAAATTTAAAGCACTTAGAATTACGAAATTTACATGAATTAAAAGAGTGGAACTTGCCACAGGACAAAAACTGACCAAACTTGTGCCCATCCTCGTGAAATGCATTGCAACTCCTCAATGAATTATCTGCATGGCGTTGAGTATGCACTGGGTCGGGATGACGTAGTAAAATAGTGGAATTTTTTATATCCTCATGAATCACTTTACAAAATCTTCCTTTATTGCGTTCGAAATTTGTATACTTAACACAGTCTGGCAGCAGTTCCTTGAAAGTTGTTTAAGGAAGCGAGATAGGCTTTTCCGTCATAGCCAGAGTTCTTAATAAGCTATATGCTTCTTTACTGATGAATGTGAGGAAATGTGCCACAATATTAACATCTTCAGCATCTCCTTTGGTCATAGTCCAGATTTCGAACCTTTCAAAATAATCCTCAAAAGCTTCATAAGTTGAATAAATATATAACTTTTCCATCGCAGGCTACATCGCGACGCCAATATAATATTTGAAAGTATTTGAATTACAGTATTTGGATCACAGAATTAACGCAACTGAATAAAGAATTACGACACAAGCACGAACGGATGTATTGTATTTAGAATTCGAAATCAAGCATTTAACAAGTACAAAGAAATCCTTAGTTAATTCAAACACCACAAGAAATTATTGTATTATAATCATCATTTAATTTGATAACATATGTAGATTAATGTTAACAATCCATATATTTCTTTTATCATGCTTTATAGGATCTTTCACAAATAAGACGATGGGATTAAAGCTCGTTAAAACAAATGGATAATGTAGATGGTGGAAATGAAACTTTTTGGCGTCTACTGACATCGAATAACTTGAAGGTGTATATGGTAATGATATTTGGATATCAATGTTACAATATCCCTCCTGATCTCTTTCTAGTGGTTTGAATTGTTGGAACCAATCAACTTATTAATGAACTCATTGTTCAGGAAGAGCCTACAACGGTGTAGTAATTGAGTTGATTTTCGTCAAAGATTACGCTTTATTCATAACATATTAAGTTAATATATCAATTCGTATTCAATGAATTCACTACTACTACACATTCAGAATGAACATATTTGCAAACCGACAGTTAATGAAGTTCAGTGGATACAATCTTGAATAAAATGTCAACATATTTCTATGTTGACCAATTGTTCTCTCTATAAGACGTTTTATTCATCCTTCTATTAATCACTTGTCTTTCATCCAAATGAAGCCTGTTAGTCAAAAATGAAATGAATGAACAATTTCTACTGAGTCGTTAATAACAAAATAATTTTCAGAATACCATTGAACCATTCAGTGTAATGCACAACCAGTTACCATTGTAAAAGATTATTTTTCCCCCTATTTTCCTACACCTTTTCGATCAATCAACCCTACTTTTGTGAAGTAACCACATATATGTAGTTAAACAATCCAAGTAATATAAATGTATAAACATATATTTATTGTTTGTTAGCTTGACAAATAAATTTATTTGATCTGTGTTCTTGGATTATATACTACATAAAGGAAATATTACTATTCAATAAATTTCAATAGTTGAGATCATGAGTCAGTCGAAGCTAGACCATCATGGAAAACCTGGAAGCACTGGATGGCCGTTTCATCCTAGCATCGGACTCCTCAGCAGTACGCATCCACGATCTCGCCTCACGAGATTCGAATCCAGGAACTATCAGTCTCGCGCGAACGCTTAGCCTCTAAATCACTGATTTGGCGGTGTTAATATCTAACTTCAACTAATCCACGAAATTGAGCAACACACCCACCATTGTCTTCAGTGAGTTATTATCTCACTACAAATCTGGTTGAACTCCACTGGTCACTGGTCAATAAATGTTACTTATTATCAACATGTTCAGTATTGTTTTGATATGTTTTTTTTGAAAATGTATACTTAAACACCAAATTGTTTGTCGTTGATTTCTGTCAATTTTCATGAATGAATATGCTATGAAAAACAACAGCTGTTATTTCTTGAACACTGATATTGTGTAGTATAGTGTTTTTCATTGTTATTATTATAAATTCTTGTTGGACAGTATTTCGTTATCTGAAGCAATCATAATTTTCATGGCAATAAGTATGAAAACAAATCAAGTACAACTAATACTATTCAACTACAAAATAATTCATCATTTTGTATTATCATTTCAGTCATTGTATGAATGAATAGCTAGTTATTAATGTATACAAAAAATATCGTTGGTTACATTTTCTGTTTATGGAAAAAAACCCAGTAAAATCAGGTTTTTATATTATCAAAACCAAGGGGGTTAATTTATTAAATGTGTATTATATTGTATTGATCACAAAGTAATTTATGATGCAAAAATCTGATAATTTCAGTAAAGACGCTAATGAGACTAGATTTTGTCAACCATTCTGAATATCACTTTTGTTTTAGCTTTAACTTATGGAAGCTATAGTTAGGATAGATTATTGATTGAACGATATGAACTATCTGGAAGTTTCTGAAGAGCTAAAACAACTTACATGCAACATTCTCTATTCAATATGTTGTCACTATTTTTGATGCAAATAATTCCCACCCTAATTAGTTAATCATAATTCATCTTACAAAAATATTCATATTAGGAAAAGTATACAACATTCCAACAAGTTGTTTAGATGTTAACCGTATCCGAGTACATTTTAATCTTTGAATAAAGAGAGAATAAGACTAATAGTAGAACAATATGAATTCATTGATATCCTTACTATCTAGAAACGATTAATTATGTACAAAACAAAATTTGTACCTACTTTATATGAGAAAGAGGTTTAGATTAAAATTTAGTTAGATATGGAAACGTCAATTAATAAAAGACAATAATTGTAGACGTATAAAGACGCTTGTTCAAAAGTTCGTACATTAACAGGTTGAATATATAAATGTTATAGAAGAAAAAGTTCAGAAGAGCATAGAAACAGAAGTTCTATAAATGAAATGAGAAATTAATACTATAGTTTACGTGAAACTTGAAAATAAAATAGAATTGCTCAACTGAATACAGCTCGGATGAAAAATAGAAAATTATAATTCATATCATGGAAAAAATGTTACATAACAGATATTGGTATATGTGGTCAGGATCCCAAAGAAAGATTTATAACTACACCTTTGGATCCTTCCACTGTGACCGATTCAACAAAACATAGTAAACTGAATGTCTTTATGTTCATTATTAAATTAACAAGAAATCGCACTACAAACACTAGTCATTCAATTTATTCATTCATTCAATGTATGTGCTTTGCTATGTACATATAAATTGGTGGGCATATTAAGTGTGATATCTGAAAGTTGAATTTTTGCTATATCGCGTACAACTTGAGCACTCGAACGTTTGAACCGTCCAAGTTGCAAGTTAGTAGGCAGAAGACGAGAGGTAAGGAATCTTATTTTTAACTCTGTCAGATATAGTACGAAAACACTCGGGTATTTATAATTTTTAGTAAAAATGAAATCGTCATTACAACAGTAGTTCCTAGCATTTGTTCAATCAGGAAGCTACAATTCGAGATTTTAGAGTGTTCTTCCGAACGATGATTGGATAGAATGTCTTCTGCTCTTTCAGAGCTTCCTTGAGTTCATCGGGAGCTTTCTCCACAGAATGAAGTAATATAATATGGGAATTCGTTTACTTTTGACCATTGCAATCAGTAATTCATTTAGTAAAAAGAAATCCACTTGGCTGATGAATATAGTATTTCTAAGCTGAGCTTTAATATGAAATCATTTTATCACTTTTGTAGCCAAGGCTAAAAGAGACAGGCTTTTCAGAAAACTAGATTTCCTTTATTTCAATCTTCCAATACTTAGTTTTAAATGTTTAAGGGTAACCATTATCACAAAAATCACGTTCAACTACGGCTAATTCTCTCTCAATCCTATTATCTGAACACCAACTTCCTACCTGGTTGAAGTACTTTCGGATCAAAGTTCGCCGTAGCGCTCTGGAAAAAACTGTTGAAATCTAATCGCATTCCGTCCTGCTTCGTTTCGATGAATACATCCTTGAAACTGCGCCTTTGTATTATGCCCAGTATCAAAGTCTGTAATGCAAAACATGCCATTAGGTGACATAATTAGGTGTTGTATTGATAAGCTCCAACTTATGGGAAGAGTGTTGATAATCATTACTGGCAACAAATGTAACGTTAAAATAGTCGTTCTTTAACGAAAGATTTTGATAAACTCTTCCCAGAGTTACTACATACTTGTGACTGAGCCTCTTACAGTAAAATAACTAAGCTCTACGTGAAATGTTATATATTCACCAACTTTATTGATAAGGCCTTTTTGAGTTCAATTTGCGATTTCACTATAAGTTAAGGGTTTGTAGATACAGGAGGTTATTTGCAAAAGCTGACAGTTTTCGAAAACTGCCTGAAATAGTTACATATGTTTAGTCAATGTTTGAAGAAACGTAACTTTTCATGTCAATAATTATAATGCTTTACTGTTTCTATAAACTGTACTAAAGTATTCAAGTTTATTTTTAAGTACCACGTCAAGTATGATATCAACCTTTCACTTACTTTTAAAACTTCTGTTTTTATACACTTGTCAGTTCTTTCTCTAGAATATTTATACTGTCATAAACTCTTACTATTCGCGCAATTATGTCAAAAGATGCAGAAGAATAAGTTTTAGATACATTGATAACTAAATCCAACTGAATAACTTAGACTCACTAACAGATGGGTTATTGAATGGTTCTTTATTAATAATTGAATGAAAGGCAAATATATGGAAAATATATTTTTCATATTGATCAGTTAAGTGGAAATATTATAACGAAATAGAAACTGACAAATAGATGCAAATAAATTTCATTGTATTCAAGCAATGAAAATTAGTGTTTCAGATCAGCTGACGAGTTCTTTACAAAAATATTATCCCATAATAGATATACTAAGGTGACTTCTCATGTACTACAGTGGAGACCGTATAACTCTTATTATAAACGGTTTATAACAACATACTAACCATCATCTCTTAACATATATTTAATTAGAATGGTGGTTGGAGATAGTAAACAGAAAACTCTGGACCTAGATTTCGTGCTACTTGGCACTCGTCAGCAAGGTATACTTGTAATCTTGTGGGAACTGATGACCCCTGACGGATTCAATCCCGTGTCACACAGCTTCACAGTCAGATACGTCACCATTGAGCTATCCGGGCCGTGTGTGTGGTGAACAATGTTATGTATGTCAGCTCCTTCTTAGTGCAGATCGAATCTTATCATATATTCACTTACAAATTAGTTTTCTTGAAATTTACCTCAGCTAACTGTTATTCTCTAGAACAAGTAGATTTACGTTCAAAATAGAAATTTATTACAAATATTACGATAAATGTAGTACATAGTGAACTATTTCAAAAAGCAATGAATTAGTAGTGTGAATGTATATGCAAGAAGTTAGGGTGTTTAATAATGAATACATTTCAATTAAAATGACCAAAATATATATAAATTAGAAGCAATTACATAAATCAGTGAAGATTATGGACTTAGTCATTCAGAGAATGTATTTACTGATTCCCATGCAAACAAACAGAACAACAATAACATGACGATGAATAGATAATTTTGTCATTCCATTACATTTATCTGTTGAGCAACAACCGACTGTATACGCATGTTCCAATTTATCACATGTAGGTCCACAAAATTTACTGGTAACTCCAGAACCATGAGTTGTCTGAAGATATAAATGAAAGCCAAATATTCAGCCAAAAGAAAACATTAATTTGCAGATACGTTTAATTTAAGTGGGTGAAACACCAAACACGTCACATGAAGAATATAACTAATAAATTGTTTTTAACCAAGATGAATGGTTGCTAGTAGTGGAATCCAAAATATGCGTTCCTCTCTATTTAGGACTTGTCACATGGATATTCACCTCCGGACTCGAACCTAGTATAGTTCATTCCTAACGTCGCCGAGTTTTACACTTTGCTACTGAGTCCAGATGGCTGTTGTCTTGTGCGATGGGGTGAAATTTAATTCGTCAATACAAGTGAAGTAATTGATTTGTACTAATTTATTCGATGAGCATAAATCAGCGACAGATTTATATTACGACATCGTAAAATGTTCTAAATCAGTGTAAAGTTTAGCAGTTGTAAAATTTCTTTTATTTTGTTGATCTTAATTTGAGTTTGCCTAACTTTAATGACTATGTAGGTGATCTCATGTAAGTCAATATAATGATTTACCAACCATCGGTTAGGTTAAATGTGATGAACATGGTCGACACACAACGTAATTTAACTCATAATCATTTCTGATCACAAAAATCTAATCGAGAATATTTCATAGGAAGTGAGGATTTGTGGTGTTAAACACAAGTTATTGACTAGCTGTATTAAAGATGTCATTTATACTGCTTGAAATGCTTACTTTTCGTCAACCAGTAAAACACACAATCTAGCATTACAATCTTCCTATTACATCATCAGTTTTATTCCTTGTTCATATGTCCTCACGGAACTAATACTCTAACAAAAAAATTTTCATATATATATATATATAATTGTACAGCTTGATAATAAATACAAATTGACACTTTAGTTGTGCTTTGAATACAATTAACCAAGATTTATAATGCTGCTTGATACTGATCAAATTATTGTGTCTTATTCAAAATACTAGGAAAATTCGTTTAGTTTATTATGTACCACATAAATGGAAACATACTACATTTCACACAGGTTTCACTGTGAAATAATTATTACGTCACAAAATCTTTGATATATAATACATTGTCTCTTTTTTATAATGCCACTGATTAAGTAAATGTAACTACTTCCTTAGTAACCCGTAGAAACTTAAATTTTTGTCTTAGTTGTAAATTTAGTCATATACAAAATTACTATTCAGTTTGTTTGGTTAAACGCTTTTCAAAAAAGAAAAGATTATTTTGAGACTAGATACAGTCAAATTATAGTTCAAAAGTATTTCAATATTGTTCTCAATTCTGATTGACTACATTTATAGAATTCCATTGAGACGAATAACTAGATACATTCTAATATTTAACTGTTGAATTTAAACTTAGTGAATTCAATGTCTTTTAATAACTTGAAGCGAAAATTATTCATCAAATTTTACTTTTACTCAAGTTATAATGAAATATATTACGATGGTTATTTGAACTTACCACACATCCACCACAACCGCTCATAACCTTTTCGTTACTTTTTGTACAGTTCAAACAAGTATAGCAATCGATTGGTTTTGCTGTGAATTGAATTAAGGAAATCAACATGATATAATGACAATATAATAAAAATGAGTTAAAACTGTCAATATACATGTCATCGGATAACTTATATTAATATTGTCAGATATTTATATTCAACTTGAAATGACTGAATGAAATGCAAAGAAAATTACTATAATTTGTCCTGTAGAACGATTTTCATTTACCTCTTGTATGGAATGAAGTCATGAGACTAGATGTAAGGGTCTAGACTTGACATAATCAAAATACTATGTTAAAATAATACACATTTACTATACAAAATCCATGTTAATAAAGACAAGATTGAAATAACCCTAGTTGATTATAAACAGAGTAAAAATTCACAATTTAGTTTACACATATATTTTAATGTTACTATTAAATGACCTCAACGACGTTCATTCATGATGGTTTACAGGTATCGCATCAAAATGTATCAAATATGAAATACTAATATTGTATCATTAATTTCTCACTGTATTCATTTCGTCACAAATTAAGTGCTCTTAATCGATTGTAAAATCACATACAGTTTAATTTTGTAATAATCATGATAACTTAAAGAAAACAAATTACTTACTTATAGGCCCTGTTGGACGTTCTAAAACCAATTTTAAAATAAAAAAAATGTTAAAACAATAACATTTTAATGAAATAATAAACTAAAAAAATTGTACTTCACAACTTCTTGACTGAAGACAGAACTATGTGAGATTGATATTTAACGTCATTGCTTTCAATAATTTCAATTTACCAACCATAACCGAATATTTTAGATAATAAATATTTTATAAGTTCATCTGTTTGTAGATCAATTGACACACAGACTGTTACGACTATCCCAGAGAAAGTTAAATATGAAGTCCATTTAGATCACAATAATTTTGATATGTGTAAAGAAATCAAAATCAAATAATTTGTTTCTGCCTAAAAATCTATAACTTGAATAGGAATGCGTTAAAAATAATCCATTCCATGTACATGATGGTTAAACAAAATCCTATACTATATAATCCAAGTCAATGAAATATACCGGATAATTTAAACATGAATATCTGAAGCTGTGAATACAACAGATATTTAGAATGATATTACTTGAATAGTGGGTACAATGAAAAGGATGAATAACAACTGGAAAGGATTGCCCAGCATAGGGTTGAATGGAGATTGCTGGTGAGCGGCCAATGATACTTCACGAAGATTAACAGGCATAAGTAGATACAATACCCGAGTTTTAACTTTTTCCAAATCAATTTAATGAATCAGTAATTATGATATTTTTCATATGACCTCCAAATATGCGATTAACCATATTATCAATTTGATTTTCAATCATACAGTAGTGGGAATATTTTTTACAAGATCCTGTTTTCGTATTTTTTTTAAAACTTTTAAGGTAAATGTGCAAAGATTCTTTAGATATTATTATGGACTAAGCTTTTGTAAGTTTTGTTTAATAACTATCATAAAAACTGATGCACGAATATGTGAACATAACGTCCTGATATTCAAACAAATATTAAGCAACTTTCAAAGATTTGAGAAGCGGCTTTGTAATATAACTAATACATCAATGATTATTTTATCTGCTAGTTAGCATTTCTTAGATATTCCGTCAACGTTATAAATATGACGTTTGAGCTTCTGAAATGTTTAAACGCTATGCATATATCACCTATTAAATTACAATCGGAAGTTGAGTTTTTACGTTTTGAGAGATAGATTGAAAAATTCCATGATAAGATTTAAACACAGTTTATCATTGAAATATTTAATGTCCTTGGAATTATATTTCGATTTAAGTTAGATCCCCATTGAGAACCTGGAAGCACTGAACGGTTGTTTTGTCCTAGCTTGGAACTATTCAACAGTGCGCATCTACAACCCCGCATATGAGAATTAAAACTAGCAAATTAGGACTCATGCTCGAACTCTTAACACTTAGATCACTGGGTCGTAATCCAATGGTTGGAATTTCGCACGCGAAACCAGAAGTGATTGTTTCGACTCCCATGTGGGGTCTCGTGGATGCCCACTGTTGTATCACATACTAAAATGAAACGTTCATTCAGTAGTTCTAGGTTTTCAGCGGTGGCCTAATCTAGAATAGTTGATGATTTCAATGAATTTCAACAATCTCTACAACCTGTTACTGACACTTAACACCATATCTATTGACTTTTTTGATAACCTCTAAAATTTACACTTGTCACATACTGTCATATATTTGAAATGCTTAAAATATACCTCTGACTGATCTTTAAACTTATGTATAGTCACATCTGTCTATAATGCACTCAGCAACGAATTTTCATACTCGAAAATTTTTTTGGTGTGTACGGTTGTGCTGTAATTCAAGAGAGAAGTATTAAACAGAAGCTATTTCAAGTGTTAATAAATGGGAGCTAAATAACTTTAGGCACAATACAGATCTTGTATTTATGGATAAACTCATAAACGTTCTGTTTGTAATTTTACATTTTATTGTTTGTAACAACCAACAACTCTTAATTTCTGTTATAGTAAATGATGTATGAAACAACCAACAATTAAGGAAGTATGTCGTTTTCAAATGAATTATACAGTAGTATTTATAACTTGTCTATTTTATTCCGGATTCTAATATCCTCATTTAGTCGATAAGATTTGAATAATCTCCAGCGATTCAATCTGTCAATTACGAATAAATTAAATAATTATTCTGTAGCTGTCTTTGGATAATAAAAACAGTTAATAATCTAAATGGTGACAATCGATAAACTTCCTCTTTTCATTGCACTATTTAGATTAGCGTGAATTAATATACAGTTTAAAACTGTATCTGTTTAAGCTTTTCTATCTGTTTATATTTTTAGTTTATATATTTTCTTGTTTTAAAATAGTTTGTGCATTTTTAATAATGAATATAACGAAATTATCCTTTTATCACTTACGTGCAGTGTTATCAACTGTTTTCCCATTACACAAGTCAGTGGGACAAGTTTCTCGATTTTCGTTTGGGAAGTTAATGGGTATCTTATCATTAAACAAACATATTCTGTGAATCTCAAAACCACTACCACCCATCTGAAAATTAATAAGAAAAAGAACATAAATTAAGATGGATCAAAATAACTCATCGAAAAAATTGAAGAAATAACGTACGATACAATTATTAAATAAATGTATTTCCTATATTTGTTAGGAACAGCAACTTATCTAATTATCGTTTCGACTGTAAGATGAGCAATAACTACGATAAAAATACATTATAGTAAGTCTACACAAAAAATAACTACAAATTGTCATTTCATTCGACATGTAAATAGTAGTTGATCAAAAATTCATGTAATTTATTAAACATAGAAATATGTGTTTATTAAATAGCCTAACTTACCACGCAAGATGTACAATTGTTGTCTTTTGATATTGATTCACTCGTTACTATCGGACAATAGTCACATACGTAACAACGTACTGCTTGATATTGGTCTATGTTAAATGTAAACAACCATTGGAAATTCAATAATTTAGAGTAAATTATTGAAATCTTCTTTTTAAAAAAATTCATAATGTATTTCATTCATTTTTTTTATAAATTTATATTACAACAATAAAAAGGTTACCACCAAACTTTTTTAAACAAGTTGAATCAATCATCTCTTTTAATACATTGTAATACTCTCCATGGGAATATATATTTTATTGTTAACATCAATTTTCCTTATTTCCTCTTTGTGATCGGTAAGATTTCTGTCGTTTTGTTTTTGTTTTCGATATGAAACAAAATCAAACTGTCTAATGATTAAGAATAAAACTTTCAGTGTTCTACACTAAATGATTAAACATTTACAGATCACATCTACAAGTGTTTCTTGTTTATCATTCGTTTTTCTTTGAATTAATTAATATTTATTAACTACAATACATTAAACTTCCATAGAACTTAATCAATCCAAGTTTCACAAGACTGTTCATTAGTAAATAAATGAAATTCTACTATGTATGTTTGCCTGTTCATTAAAAAAATTTAAGGACATAATATTCGTCATTTTGTAGACTATGGTTATTTGATTATTACATACATGTCCCCTTTGTCCAGTTCAAACTCTGATAATAATAATAATAATAAGGCAGAAGTATACATTCGACAGCATACTGATTTGTTCAAGTTCTGTACAAACTAATTTACTAATGAAAAAGCCGTCCCATTTCGTTCCTTCAGACACAAATCATGCAAAATGAATCGGTGTTCAGTGACTTAAAAAAGACCGATACAAATAATTAGAAATAAACAATTAGTTTATAAATGTCACATTTTATTCAAACCTGGTATTTAAGTGTTATATTTTACGAATATAATGACCACAGCTTTAGTTTATCATTGAAAAGTGTATACAAAAACCATGCTAGATTTTTTACGGGCAGTAACTCAAACACTTCTGGCCGAATCAGAGCTTACCACTAACCATCACTTGGATTGATAACTTTGATTGATTAGTATCGAAAATGGCCACTATTCCCATTATCACTGAATTTATTTAGTGATCAGCACAATGTAATAACACTTTTGTCATCTAACATTTCACAGACTGATTTTTTATTACGAGAATGAATTATCGACTTCGAGTATACAAATGACGAAAATCCATTTTGATGAAAACGTAAACAATATTCATTCTTCAGAATGCACTCAGTATTAATGTAAACTATTTGAAGTAAATCTTTCTGCCTTTAAATGTGAAATGTTGCCTCGGGACTGGGCTACATTATCACCGAGATAGATCATATGAAATGAATTTGTTGAGGTCGGCTACTTCATTTATCTCGGAAATCTCGTCAACCCTAATAGGTCGGAGGCTGACGATATTCAAAGATGGATTCAGAAAGCTTCCTTAGCTTTTTCCAAAAATTGTGGTGCAGGCAAGATTTCCCCCTTTCAACAAAAGTCTATGGTCATATGTGCGCCTCAAGTTTATATATATATATATATATATATATATATATATATATATATATATATATATATATATATATATATATATAGGTGTCTGCGAAGCACCGGTCACTAATGGTAAACAATGGATTAAACAATACTGAAGTAGAGTCCTAGATAAAGCTGGCAAATCAGTTTTAAATGGCTGCCTGAGGTGATAAGGAGATGTATAAGGGACTTCAAACTGTCACCTACTGCGACATGGAAAGCGGGCTAATGTAAGACCAGGTTAGTAGAAAATAAGAAACCGGCAAATCAAGTGATATCAATATTCGAATTCATTCGGCATTGATCTGAGTCATGTTGATGGGTGAAGTCCAAGTGTCTGAGGGTTGGCTTCTATCAACGATTTAAGATCATAAGTGACATGTCTCGAAATCAGCGGTGTTAGAGCAAATAGATCCGTTATTTATCTTTCTCTATATTTTGAGCTTCAGGATTACTTCATATTATTTACTCCATATTTCCCGTTCATCTTTCAAAACACTGTTTTCTACTTATACTGAAAATCATATTGTTTTAAACCAAATGATCTTCACCACGTTCTTTCTAAGTCACCGTGTTAGCATTTCATGGTAATGTGGAGCCATGTACATTTCTGCTCAATTATAAGTTGATCATGATTGACTGTTTATTGTTACTCTTTCTAGGTGATAGATACAAATTTCAAATGTTAAACAGTACATATATTTGGGTGATTTTTTCTTCCAAATTCTAGTCTTTACTTATCAAACAAACAACCTATTAAATATAGATAGGAAAAAGGTATCTATTCAACCGGATCGAAATAAAATACTAACTGAAAAAGACTTTGATTGCACCTTCTTAAATTGGAATCCATATGATTGGAATGTAACACAAAGCTTAACATAGAACATTCCCATCCCAAAATCAAACTGAATTACTTACGTTTACTCAGAATATTCACCATAATGTACAAAAAGATTCCAAAATATTCCAAGCCACTTTTCATTCTTCAACCACTTTAGAATACTTGGAGATGTATGCGAATAAAATTCCGAGAAATAAGATTAGCTACACAAGCATGGAAATAAATCCGTGTGAAAAACGTCAATGGTCCTATGATAGACATTCGTGTCTGGACTACAAATACTGACCAATCAAAAGCCAGTAAATTGCTATTCCATCGGTGTGTCCGTTAATTACAAACATGTCTGTCTCAACTTCATTGAACCATTGATAAAAACGAACCACATAATGGATAAAGTGTTAGTTTTAAGCTGATTCGTTTGTCCTCTTTCTGGGTAATTCGAATGTAGTGAAATAACAACTTTTCTTACGCTCATAATTTATACCTTTTATGGAAATTCGTAAAACATGGATCACAAGATCTGGAAGACAAAGGTTATTAGAAATATGTGATGTATTTGCTCAACACAGTTTAAGAGTGGGATGAATGAATCACAGAACGAACAAATAAACATTTACAATTTAGATGATTCCCCATTTATATCGCATTAGAATTGTTTACAGTAATTTCAGTTTCGAATAAAAGAGTTTAACACCATTTAAATAAATGGATATTTTACGTAGTCCAAGTAACAAACTGTGAGGTCCGCCGACGTCACTGAGATAAAAGTTTTTTGTTTCATTAGAGCATCAAAGTTGTTATGTCTCAACATCATTTACTATTGATAGCTCAATTCTTTAGAGGCAGTTAATAATTGAATGGAACGATTATTCAGACTGAATATTTCATAGTATCCTAAACAATTTGATTTTTATCAAGACTAAATTTTATTCCGTATTATTTTTAATCCTTTTACACATGTAGAATGAAAATGTATGAAAATCAACAGTTAATGGAGTACAGTGGATACAATCTTGAATTAAATGTCAACATATTTCTATGTTGTCCAATTGTTCACTCTATAAAATGTTTTATTCAAAAATGAAATGAATGAACAATTTCTACTGAGTCGTTAATAACAAAATAATTTTCAGAATACCATTGAACCATTCAGTGTAATGCATGACCAGTTACCGTTGTAACAGATATTTTTTCCCCACTATTTCCCTACAACTTTGTTGATCAATCAACACTACTTTTGTGAAGTAACCATACATCTGTAGTTAAACTATGCAAGTAATTTAAATGCCCTATTCAGAGAATCTTATATTTATCCTCTGTTAGTTTGATAAGTCAATTTATCTGATTAATATTCTTTTATATATATTCACTACTAAGAAGAAAGTATTCCACTCAAAGGGTCTTTCTTATTATTTTATTATTACGCAAATACACAACAAAACAAAACATCATCTTGTGTCATCATTTCTGTTACTATATCAATGAATTATTAACAATGTATGTAGTAGAACGTCTTATGTAAAACCAATGAAATTAAAGATTCCTATAATTTCTTGTTCTGAGATATACATTTACTGAAGGCCATATTAATTATTTTAAGTAATTATTTGTTTCACTGGTTGAAATCATTAGTCAATTGAAGCTAAACCACCATGGAAAACCTGGAAGCACTGGATGGCCGTTTCGTCCTAGTATAGGACTCCTCAGGCCGGAACGGCCGTCCAGTGCTTCCAGGTTTTCCATGGTGGTTTAGCTTCAATTGACTAATGATTTCAACCAGTGAAGTCTCTGAAATCTCCACAAAACCCTTTCTGATAATTATTTGTTTATCATATGGTTTAACTGGAGCACCATCTTTTTTCACTTTGCTATGCAAATGTGATTTTTGTCTGTCTCAGATTAATGATCAGAACGCTTTGTATTAGGCTGATATATGTGTATATGACTACTACTACTACTACGATATAAAACACTCAAGTCTAATAGTTTGTTTGAGGTATTCTGTGTTTTTTTGGTCCATTTTTGTTTGAATGTTTAAGTGCTATCAATTTGTTAGTGAATCTATTGATTTTGGGTTATATACGTATGACTATATAAATGTTGTTTCAATAAACTTCTGTAGATATGTATACTGAAGTTGATTCTGAGCACAGTCAAACTGTTATTAAGGATAAGCGAATAAAAAGTGTAGTTAAAAAAAACTTTCCTTAATTCCCTATTTATTTGATCTGAACGCATCTAATATTATCGAACATAAATGAATCAATTTATTGCACATGGAGTGTACATTTTCTGGTTGAAAAGTTTTATCTATCTGTTTTAACTATTTTCAGATAAGATATCTGTCTAGGTATTGAAAACTGAATGATGGTGAAAAGAAGTAAGACAGAGTTTTCACATATTTATTCTGAGTGATTTTTAACTTGTTGTTAGTAATAGAATTAATAATTTCAATTGTTTGACGCACACTGTTGACTAGATTTCAACTACCATAAAATCGCATAACAGTACTCTATGCTTTATTATATTCAATCTCTTTCTAATGTGAAAATTAACTTGATGTGAATGGGTTCGTAAAATATGATACAAAGATAAAACTGGCACAAATGCTGAACTAATGCTCCTATTATGTGAAACGGAAACTTCATTGAGATTTATTCTTAATAAAATGAATCGAATATCTTTCTAGTTAATGTCTCTATATTAATTTGTACGTTTTTAATTAGTTTCACCTATTCTCAGTAGTTGTTCTTTTTCTCTAATATAGAAGCCACTAATCTATTGAAAAGATTAGTTCAATCAATATGTTTCTCAGAAAAATAAAAAGTATTTCCGAAACAAAATTAATCTCTTTGTTTAATAGGCATTAGGAAATGTATCATTTCGTTATGTCAAATTTCAGATTTTGACTGGAAGCAACGTAATATTGATAAAATTATTCTTGTCCATGAATAATGATTGTAAACAGACCACGCGATTGTGAGTAACTATCATTCACCGACATAATGAAGAAAATGTTATGTAACGACCAATACCTATTTAGGGAAAAAAGTCGTTTGTTGGAACAATAAAACTGATTAGAATTTTTATAACACAAGTATTCATACATACAACATGACATGAGTGGAAAATTTAAATTTTTGGCTAATAACACAATATATTCACATTGACAAAGAGATAAATCAATAATACGAGTCTAGATGTCAAAGATGACAAAGCCCGGAAGTAAAATATACAAGATAATCGACTACCAACGAAGCCATTAAAAAGGAATGATATAAATATTTTTTGAATAAATAGAATTCTTTGTTCTGAATGAATTAGGCACTGACGTTATCAAAAATGATAGGAAAAGCTACCTGCATAAACCATCTAAGTAAGAGTACACAACATCCTCATAATTGTCCACCTGATCTACAAACGTTTTCCACTATTTCAAGACCAAATAAGTATATGTACACTTTTTGATAATATTTGGAAAACTAATATGGATCAGAAGATGAACATTGATGAGTTAACTATCCATCCTATCTTTAAATATACTCATATACTAAAAAAGAACAAAAATTTTAGCTAGAATCTGGTTTTAGTTAATGTTGATATTTCACATTAAAATATCATTAGTGTCCGTGAACTTATCAACTCAGTATATGATTTTGGAAAATATTGGGTAAATTTCACTTTGAATTTATATAAATATAACAAGATGAATCAAGCCACGACATTTAAGAATATTTGAAAAAGTATATCACTAGTAACAAGTTTCGAAATATTACTCAGGATATGCTTAATACTCCCTAATCAACTTGCTTCACTGATAAACATGAAAAATCAGATGCAGACGTTTAGGCAAGAATTGGAAAATCAAGAACCCAAGACGAAGTTAGATGGAGAATGTTTGTGATTAGACTATGCTCCTACATGAGGGGTGACAGGCTTAAGTAAGTAAGTAATCAAATTGCTTGATGCTGGAGTAACTTTGCTAGAAATGAAAAAAATCGTTGATAACTGAATGAAATATTTTGGAAATTGGGGATTTGCTTTGAATGATTCAGATAATAGAAATTATATGGTTAATAATGATAATAATATCTACCAGATGGGTCATTTGATAAGCCTACAAATATTATTTTGTAGAAAAGGTCAAAATATGCCTATCGATAAATGTAGATATATAAGAGAACAATTCAAAACTATTGGCATCTAAAAATGTCTATACATAGAGATGTTGAGTATCAAAGTACACATCGAATATTTCAACAGATGATAAATTGAATTAAATCACTATTTCATAAACGCTTGCAATTAGTTATCAGAACAATATATTATGCTTAATTAAAAGATCAAATGAAATGCAGATAAATATATTAACTCTGTTTACTTACATTAATGGTCGTCTTTTACTTTATTATTACACAAATCTGAAATGCATACACATTCCGATTATTCATTCGAACGTTTCAACTGTTTTCTAAACATATTCTGTGTACAGAATAATCTGCACCACCAACCTATAATCAAATTAAACTAACATAACAATATCCACCAAGTAATTTTATAAAATGAATGCTGAGAAACGATTAAGTAAGCAATTTTGTATCTAATGCATTATCAATCTTGCTTGCCATGATGACATGACTCAATAATGTTTGTTACGTAATTCTTCGAGAGGATGCAGAAGATTTTTAGCTCGGGTGGATTATTTTGATGGAGTTTTGTTCTCTGAGCTGAACAGTTTGGTTGTGGAGCTTTTATCGTTCTTCTGCACAACGTCATCAGCACAAACTTCAGGTAGAATTGAAGTGTTCACTTCTATCATCCAACTTAGAGAACAAAATACAATTCTTCGCATGACACTTATTGTTAGTCTTCACTTGTCATCTGATTTTCACTCACTTAATCAATTTTGTATTAAGAATTATATAACAAAAACTTTAATATCTTATTTCCAGATAATCCTATCTCTGTGCCTTCAGTTTTATATTCTAAAATATTCTTGTGTTCAACTAATGAATATTCGCATTATTTGGCATACAATTATCTTTTATCGTTCTTCCATACTTACTACTCTACCATTAATCTCCATTAATGAGAATTTTTTCAGTGTTATGATATAAAATAGTTAAGCTAATTTTAATGAA